AGTTCATGGGTGGGCATTCCAAAGGGCACAGTGGATGGGTTTGCGATGGAGAAAAGGATGGAGGAAGGGGGCAAGGGTGGGTCAGAGACATGGGGAGAAGAACTGAGCAATAAAACAGTTTGTGGTTGATTTATTTGTATATAAATAATAACAGACACACATACATATGCATATCTGTAATAGGTTTTCATCCACGGTTCCTGGCTCAAAACTCCCATAGCCACTGCTACAGTTTTTTATTATAATGTTGAATGTGTTAGATCTCAGAGGCAGGCCTCAAAAACAGAATCTCTCTGACCTACTCCCCCTACCGCTTTCACTTGCCGCTCAAGGCAGGACTCTAATCTTGCCCCCACCCCACTTTTTGATTGTGGGTCTTAGGACCCTCCCCAGAGAAGGTCTTGCCCTATACCCTGGGGAAAGAATGCAGACATCTTAAAGCTTCCGTACAAACCCAAGAGGACTGGGTTGGGGAGCTGAACATGTGGAGGCTGACAGGCAAGTGAAGGAGAACTCACTCGTGTACTGAGAGGGGGGTGCACCCCAGCTCCACAGGGACAGAAGCTCCTGCGCTAGGGACCTTTCTAGACCTCGTCCTATGCATCTCTTCATCTGCCTGTCTATTTTTATCCTTTAAAATATCTTTCACAATAAACTGATAGCTGTGTTTCCCTGAGTTCTGTGAGTCACTCTAGCAAATCAATCAAACCCAAAGAGGGAGGTGGTGGGAACCTCAACCTGAAGTGGGTTGGTTAAAAGTTCCAGAGGCCAGCCTTCCGACTGGCAGGAGTGTTTAGTCTTGAGGATCTGACACTGTCTCCCAGGAGACAGCATCAGAATCAAATTGGAGGACACCAGTTGGTGTCCACTGCTTGGGGTTCTCCCCCAATACCTTTGCTCACAGAAGTCTTCTGTATTAATGATTGTTGCTATGTAGCTGTAAGTGAAGGGAAAAAACTCAATTTGGGAGCTTTTGCAAAAACAGTAATAAAGAATTTAACCCAGACCCAAAAGAGGTCTGGCTTCTGCCCTTGGCTTCTGGAAGGTGATCTCTAAGGCTTTGGAATGTCTTGCCTGCCAGAGGTGTCTTCATTTGCCTGGGGACATTGGGTGATGATGTGTGATTTAGAGTAGGGACTGTGAGTGATGCATAGCAGTGGAGGGTCTGGGAACAGATCAGCCATGTGGGCAGTCAGCTGTGCTCATGTGACAGAGCCACAGCGAAGACCCTGGACACCAAGACTTCCCTGGTGGGAACACTCCCTGTGTGTCGTCACACATTAGTGCCAGGAAAGTGGCGCTGTCCGTGATTCCAAGAGAGAGGACTGTGGGAGCTCTGCATCGGGCACTTTCTGGACTCTGCTGTGTGCTTCTTCTTTGGCTGATTTTAATCTGTTTTCCCTCCCTATACGAGATCACAACTTTCTGTGAGTTCTGTGAGATCTCTCAGCGAATTATCACAACTCAGGGTGGTTTGGGGAACCCCTTGAACTTGCAGTTGGTGTCAGAAGTCAGGATAGTGTTTTGTGGACTGTGTCCCCTCCCACTTCCAGTTAGCTAAAGGTTCACAGGCCATCACTGATTGACTGGACAAGGGAAGATGGCTCTTTGGCTGGGGAGGCTGATATTTTAGACACTGACTAAGGGACACAGAGCTGCAAATCGAGGTAGATTGACCCCCTTGGTCTCTTAAAACAACACTTCTCAAACGTAATATTCATACAAATGACATGGGATCTGATAAAATGCAGATTCTAAATCTGCATTTTAGGTCCAAGCACGGCCTGATCTGCATTTCTGATAAGCTGCTCCTTGGAGCACACGTTGAGTAACAAGGTCTTACTGACATCAGTGGTTTCCAAACTGTGGTGCATATTAAAATCCCCTAGGGAGGCTTTAATCATCCTCATGCCCAGGCCTCACACCATCCAGTGGTATGAGGCCAGGTGTCCCCTTCCTTGTTGCTGCAGTGTTGGCAGGTATAGTCAATCAAAGCATGGGGCCAGGTAAAGCTGTGCTCATGATTGAAAAATGCAAGCTAACAATAGAGGTTGAGAGGTTAAGAAGATTAGGAGGGGCCAGGTGTGATGGCTCACACCTGTAATCCCAGCACTTTGGGAGGCTGAGGCACGCAGATCACAAGGTCTGGAGTTCGAGACTAGTCTGGTCAACATGGTGAAAACCCATCTTTACTAAAGAAACACAAAGTTAGCCAGGCATGGTGGCATGTGCCTGTAATCCCAGCTACTCAGGAGGCTGAGGCAGGAGAATCACTTGAACCCAGGAGGTGGAGGCTGCAGTGAGCCAAGATCACACCATTGCACTCCAGCCTGGGCAACAGGGTGAGACTGTCTCAAAAAAAAAAAGAAGAAGAGGAAGGTTGGGAAATACAGAAAAACAAGCCTGACAAGGGAGCAAGTAGCTCCACGTGGGATTCCCCTTGTCCTCGGGGATCTCTTCCTTAGCAAGCGGTGGCTATCATCGCCACTCTGCCACAGCCCTCGTCACTCAGATCCCTTGCGGCAACTCAGCTCTGGAGCCCGGGCTCAATGGCGGGAGTAGGCAAATGTTTGCCCAAACTCAGCATTGCAGTGATTTTTTTTTTTTTTTTTTTTTTTTTGAGACGGAGTTTCGCTCTTGTTACCCAGGCTGGAGTGCAATGGCGCGATCTCGGCTCACCGCAACCTCCGCCTCCTGGGTTCAGGCAATTCTCCTGCCTCAGCCTCCTTGCAGTGATGTTCTTTTCAGGCCATTAAGTGCTGATATTTTACTTTGACTCTATTTTTTTTTTTATCACTTTGAATGCTGGATTCAGTAGCTAGGAAGGGATCACCTTAGAGGTCAAAGGGCCACTTGTCGGAAAATAAGGTCCTGAAAACAAAAAACCAGAAGCCCAAAGGGATGCTCATGTCTTATGAAAGGAGACTCTATGGAGGGCTTTTCAAAATGCCTAGGCTTCTGAGCACATCCTCACCGGAAAGACCTCCCCAGCACGAATGTGGCCTCCACAGGGGTTCAAGAGGAGCCATGGAAAAGGCAGCTGGGGACATCTCCTGGGGAATGGGCCACTTCCCATTGCCTGGTCCACTTCCCTCCCCATAAGTGATTCCCTGCCTCCCCATCCCACCTGTGGGTCTCCGAGGTTCAAACTACCTGCTGCCTCTGCATGGTGTGGACATACAGGCAGCCAGGCTGAGGAGCAAGCAACAGTGGGCATGCGGATAACCTTGGCTCCCAGGGCCCCAGAGGCACTCGCCACCTTCACTCTGGCCACTAAAATGTGGCAGAACTGCACTCCCAACGCCACACTGTTCATTATAATAAGAAGAAAATTAACATTAAGTGTGGTAAATGTGCCAGGCACGGTACCAAGTGCTTTGTACCAATGTCTCATCTAACATGGACAAAACCCAGTAAGACAGGTATTATTATTATTGCCCTTTTTACAGACGAGGTGAAGTTTGGAGAGCCCCGGAGCTTGGCCATAGGTACATGGCAAGTTAAAGCCTGGTTCTTAAAGCTGGGCTGCCAGACTCCAAGGCCGGGAAGACCCAACTGTTCTCTGAATGCCCAGGGCACTCAAGCAAGCGGTCCAAGGTCATATCGTGACCTGGAGAAGGAGCAAGGCAGTAAACCCCAGGGAGAGGACAGGCCTCCTATATGTTGTGGTGCCCCAGGACCCATTAGGAAATGACCTGGCCACAGATATGACCCCTCCCAAGCCAAGTGATGGATCTTAGAACCTTGACGCTATTCAAAGGGGGAAGCGCAGTGCTCGCTTCAGTGAGCAGTAGGATAAGTGCAGGAATGGAGTTGCCCACAGAGGAAAATGAACTCTGTGGCAAGCCCTAAGTTTCTTAACAGGAACTTAACAGGCTGTAAGCTAAGTAAAGACATTCACAAGTGCCCAGGGTGTGACGGTGCAAGCTTAGGGGAGACTGGTATCCTTCTCAGAGGATGCGGATGCCCCTGTAGAACGGCCCACCAATGTTTCCCGCGTCTGGGATCTTCTCCTCCCCTTTGAAGCATCCAAGAGAGCCATCAGCAGGCTGGAGACTAGGTGCTGGGTACTGGCCCATGAACCCCCCACACTCCAGCTCCCACCTCCCACCTCCACCAAGTTCTCTCACCAATGGCCACCTCTCCTGAGCAGGAGCTAGGGGAAGGAAGGCAGGGAGAGCAGGGAAGAAGGAATGAAATCTCCAAAAACGGAGCGTCTGCTCTGAGCAATGATGGGATCCCTCTGGTTGCCTCTCAAGTGGGTGACACCTCACATCGACACTTCAGGTCTCCTGCTCCTGGTCCTTCACCCTTGGATTTGGAAATCCTCTCAGTGACGATGGAGATACAGCTTTTTCCTACCCAAGTGCCTTTCTCAGGAGAGAGTGGAAAGCATCACCCAGCTTCTTCCTCCAAAGGCACAGAGAGATGCTCTCAGCTTTTCGTGAATCGGAGCACTCCACTCAGGCCTTCCCTTTGAAAGTTAGCGCATCCATCACATCCTCTAGTGCTTATTCAGCATCTGTTCTCCAAAGAGCCAAGGCTCGGAGTTACCTCAAGGACTCTTTCAGAGAGGACACAGTTACTCTATGCAAGGCAGAGCGTTCCTTTAATGGTTGCTAGGAGTCTGACCCCATCATGCAGATTTATGGAACCAGATTCTAGAAGAAATTTGGTTCAGAAACAGGTAGAGCTTGCTGTAGATCCTGGGGCCACTCTAGCTTCCCAACACTGCTTCTGGAAGCCTCGGTTCTTATAAACCACTGAACATGGCCCTGGGCCCAGGTCAAATTTGTTGGAGGCATGGTGGAAGATACACACACACGCGCGCGCGTGCACGCGCTAGCACTGATGGCTTATGTTCCCAACATGCCCCAAGGTGCCTAAGGATTTCCCAAATTCGGAAGTTTTCAGAGCCTTCTGTGTACGCCGGGGAGCATTATGGTTACATGTGAGCGTTTTTGTTTCTGTTGACTTGAGTCGTACAATGCCCGACTCACCGTGAATTCAGCTCTACAGAGTTCTTGCAGGGTTGTCCAGAAGTGGCAGCGTCCTCCTTTTCAGAGAGCTCTGGAACAGGAGGCGAGAGGACATATGAGGGAGCAGAGGCGGGGTGCAGGATTAGGCCAGGAAGAGCTACCCCTCACTGGAGCCCAGGCCCCTTCAGCCCCATGTTTGCCAGAGCTGTGATCCCTTCACCTCTATATGCCCAGATAATGGAAGCAATTTCTGTCCCTTTTCTGAGTACCTCTTGCCTCACCAGCCCTCCCCAGACCAAACACACCCCAGACAAGGATGGGGGCAGGTACAGTTTCCAGCTGTGACACTGGGGCAGTGCAATGTCAGAAGGCCAGAAGTTACAACATTATCTCACTTACTCATTTCCTTGTACCATGCAGGGCGGAAGTCCCATAGACTCAAGTCTGTCGAAGGACTGTGTGGACACTTCCTCTTTCCTGACCTTTGTGTCACTCCACTTGACCTAACCTCCTACCCACGACCCCTTCTTCCAAGTCCCCGGGGCCTGATGTCCTGGCCCATTCCCCTCCTTGGGAAATTAATCCTTCCCTCCGCTACTCCCAGTTCACCCAGCCCCCAGCCCCAGAGAATGTTCCTTCTTATATCTTGGAAAATCCAGCATTTCAGGCTCTGCTCAAACTCACAAAGAGCGTCTTTTGCCCAGCCTTTGCTAAGTCAGGATTGGAGAAAATGGAAGGCAAGCAGGAAGATTAATGAGCTCATGCACACCAGCATGGCCAGAGAGAAGTTGGCTTTAAGCACATCAGAGCCAGGACCCAAATACCCCCAGACGCTCCCTGCCTACAGTCCTGTGTCTGTGTGGGTTGGCTTCTTTCTCTCCAGCTAGAGCTGGGTTCTAGTGCAAGCCTGATAGAGGTAGTGGATGTTTTATTCCAGTTCAGACTCCCCAGCAATGAGAACTGCAACAGACATCCTCTGTTGTTATCTAGAGAAGCACCAGTCTAGTGAGACTTGAAGGAAACATATCCCTTCTGGCTGGACGTGGTGGTTTATACCTGTAATCCCAGCACTTGGGGAGGCCGAGGCAGGTGGAACACTTAAGGCCAGGAGTTCGAGACCAGCCTGGGCAGCATGGTGAAACCCAGTCTCTAATAAAAAAAAAAAAAAAAAGTACAAAAATGAGTCGGGCATGGCCGCACACACCTGTAAACCCAGCTACTTAGGAGGCTGAGGCAGAAGAATTGCTTGAACCGGGGAGGTGACGGTGGCAGTGAGCCGAGATTGCGCCACTGCACTCCAGCCTGGGTGATGGAGTGAGACTCTGTCTCAGAAACAAACAAACAACAACGACAACAAAAACCAAAACATGTTCTTTCTGTTCACATCACTTTGCTCCTGGCCCTTACAAAATGATAATCCTGGCACCTGGGTCCTGGCTCACCTTACAGACTCCAGGACTAGCCTGTCTTTGAAACTGTTACCACCTGAATGTTGTCCCCAGAAGGTATGTCTATGTTCTAACTCCTGAAACCTCAGAATGTGACATTATTTGCAAACAGGGTCACTGCAGATGTAATTAGTTAAGATGAGGTCATAATGGAGTTGTGTGGGCCTGGAACCCGTTATGACTGATGTTCTTATGAGAAGAAACACAGAGACAAGCGCACTGGGAAAATGCCATGTGACAAGGGCCAAGGAACACCGAGGATTGCTGGCAACACCAGAAGCTAAGAGAAAACCATGGAGCAGCTTCTCCCCTGGAGCCTTCAGCAGGAACACAGCCCTGCTGACACCCTGATTCCAGACTTCTAGCATCCAGAACTGTGAGACCATACACGTCTGCTGTGTAAAGCCTCCCAGCTTACGAGACTTAGTTGCGGCAACTCTAAAAAACCAGTACAGCAGCCAGTATGGTGGCACAGCTCAGACTGATTCTCCCCTGGGTAGAAGATGCTTGTGTTTCACTTCGTTCCACCAAAATGGAAAATCATTTTGGTTGAGGCTGCTATGCTCTTGCTTGGCTACTGTCACTCAACTCACTGTCTTCTAGAAACAAGGTTGACATGCTACTCAAGACAAAACAAACGACTCAACAGCAGTGTAAATGGATTTACAAGTACTGCAGGCCAGAAACGATATAACATCCTTACCGGAAACTTGAGCAGAGGCCTGCTGTGAAACATGGTAAGACTTTTACATCAGTCAACCTGCTGCAGTCCGTTGCTCTGTCATGAAGCAAACAACAGAAAAGGCTCTGAGCTCTATGCTATGTCCATGGACATCTCTGGGGCCCAAACATCTGTCATAATGCTTCCTCCTGCTCTGAGTGTCTAAGACATTGATTAATTTAAGTTATTAAGGACATAGGTACTGTTCAGAGATTCAAATTATGCAGATTTAATCAGTGGACTGAATAAGCGACTGTTGCTGATGTAAATGGGTTGCCCAGTAAAATACAGGGCCCCCAATTTAAATTTTAACTTCAGACAAACAATAAATAATTTTTTTTGTATCAGCATGCCCCAAATTCAGATTTTTTTTTTTTATTTTTTTTTAATTGAGATGGAGTCTCACTGTCACCTAGGCTGGAGCGCAATGGCACGATCTCGGCTCACTGCAACCTCTGCCTCCCGGGTTCAAGTGACTGACTTTCCTGCCTCAGCCTCCTGTGTAGCTGGGATTACAGGTGCCTGCCACCACGCCTACCTAATGTTTGTATTTTTAGTAGAGACGGGGTTTCACCATGTTGGACAGGCTGGTTTCGAACTCCTGATCTCAGGTGATCCACCCGCCTCGGCCTCCCAAAGTGCTGGGATTACAGGGGTGAACCACCGCCCCGGCCAGCATGTCATTTTTATTTGTGAAACCTGGCAACTCTACCTGCAGGGCTACACTTAGTCTCTAATACTGCACATTTAGAGCTGTCGCAGGATGTGACAGCCATAATGAAATCCTTAATGGCACCATCTGATTGAAGGAAATGTTACATTTCCAATGGCCCAAGAAAAGCCTTCCATTGTGAGGCTACATCACCACATGCCGCATAATCGTACAAAGAACACAGCATTTTGATGTACTAACACGTGGTCTAAGAGCAGAGGGAGGAGGACATGCTCCCCAACTTCACACACACATGAAATTTGTAACTGTCAGAAATGGCAGAACTACAGAAAGTATATGAAATCAGTTACATAAACACCGACACCTCAGTCAGGGTTCTATTCTCTTTGGCAGTAGCACAATACACAAGTTTTTCAAGACAGAAAACAAATAATATATGGTCTCTCTTAAGATGGTATCAACTCCATCTGTAATAGTGAGTCTCTCTTAAAGAAGGTCCCCAGGAGTGGGGGTGGCATTGTGGATGGGGGGCTTGTGTCATTTTCCCTCATGCAACTCGCACCATCCTGCATGCCCCTTGCCAGACTGAGAAGCACTGATCTAAAATGAGCTGAAGAAGTAAAAGACAATAAAAATATATTCTAGATGTTTTCTTCTGTCGTCCCTCTCTACTTTAATAATACATCTTGGAGAGAGGTTAGGGTATGGAATAGAATCAATCTACTTATCCGTCTTGTAGCATCCACACTGTTTAGGTGGGATTGGCTCACCCAAAGCTCCAAGACTGGGTTCTAATTTGCCCACACTAATAGGTAAAACCCCACCCCTTGGCACAGTAATGGGTTCATTAATGCAATCAGTGCACTGTGTTCTTCTGGAATGTGCCCCCTTAAAAATATTCATCACCACCAGTGACCCTGTCGTCTGTTCTGATCAATGAAAGATAAATGGAATTCTGGTTGTTGCCTCTTGGAAAGGATTTCATGGTTTTGGTTTTTGTTTTTTAAGTTTTCTCCTGTTAAAAGTGGGTAGACTCGTCAGGGCCATTAGTCTGTTTCTTTCTTTCTGCAAGGAGCTAAAATAGGATACCAAAGGTGGAGGCACCATCTTGCCACCTGGAAAACAAAATCCGCAAAGCCAGAGGAGATGGAATAGAAGGATGAAAGGAGCCAGGGTCTTAATGACTCCCTTGAACAACTTCACCAGTCCTGGTCCATCTATCCTGAAAAAAATAATAATTATTATAACCCTATCTGAATCAAAAGAGAAGAAAACTGGCATAAAGGTAGACAAATAGAGAGACAGCACAAAATAGAGAGCCTTGAAATAGACCTCTACCAGCTGTAAAATTAAAACTCGATCTACTCGGCCAGATGTAGTGGCTCAGGCCTGTAATCCCAGCATTTTGGTAGGCCAAGGTAGATCAATCACTTGAGCTCAGGAGCTCCAGACGAACCTGAGCAACATGGCAAAATCCCATGTAAACCAAAAATACAAAAGAATTAGCCAAGCGTAGTGGTGTGCACCTGTGATGCCAGTTACTTAGGAGGCTGAGGCAGGTGGATCCCTCGAGCCCAGGAGGTAGAGGTTAGAGTAAGCCATGATTGCACCAGTACACCCCAGCCTGGACAACAAGTGAGACCCCGGGTCAAAAAATTAAAAAACCACAACCAAGTTGATCCACTGAACTTAACTTGAAAGTTAACGTTTCCACTCATCAAAAGACATTGAAAACATGAAAAGGCAAAACCACAACTAGGAGAAAATTCTTTGCAATACATTTATCTCACAAAAGGCTTGTATTCCAAAGATATGCACTCCTATAAATGAAAACTGAGGGACAAACCAAGAAAAATATAAACAACCCAATGTTTTCAAAGAATCAGCAGAAAGTGTTGAATAGACATGTCAGAGAGGAAAGTATAGAAGTGGCTGATAAGCATTTGAAAGGGGACTCGACGTAATTAGTCATCAGAGAAATACAATTATTACAACCAGAGAGATTTCACATCGACTGGAATGGCTGAAATGTTTAAGCTGGCAACAGGAAATGCCTGTGAGCACGTGGAGTAGCTGGAACACACATGCTGCCATTGAGAGAGTGAAATAGGATAACCACTTTGAAAAACTGTTGTGCAATTTCTTATAAATGGGTACCTATTTATAATCCAACCATTCTACTTGTAGTTATTTACCCCAGAAAAAGAAAAACATGTGAAAGACTTGTACATGAATGTGTTTTAACAGCTTGATACATAATAGGCAAAAATTGCCAACAGTCCAAATGTTCACCAACAAATAAATGGATAAACAAATTGTAGGATATTTATTCAATAGAACACTAGGAAATATAAAGGAAAACACTACCGATACATTCAATAACATGGATGAATCTCATAAACATTACATTGAGCCAATGGAAGCTTCATACAAAGATTGTATTCAGTATTATTCCATTTATATGACGTTCTATTATAGAAACAGGTAAAACTAACATATAGTAAGAGAAATCAGAACCAGGGTTGTCTGCGGGGAGGAGCAGGGATTGACAAGAAAGGGACAGGACATAATTTCCTACAGTGATAATATTTTTTTGATGGAATGGTTTATATAGCTATGTTATTCTACATTTGTCAAAACATTGAACTATGCATTTAAAATTTGTGCAATTTGCATGATGTAAACAATATTTCTTTTAAAAAAAAAACCCTATTTGGTTAAGCTTCTGCAGTCAGGTTTCAGCACTAAAATTGGTGGAGTTTGGCTCCTTACGTTAAAAGGTGAACTAGGGGACACAAAGACGGTTCGTGTACCCCTCTATAAACTGGTAACTGATTCGGGGAAGAAGCACTACAGTTAAAGACAAAGATGATAAGGTGAAAGGGGACTGGGCGAAGTGGCTCACGTGTGTAATCCCAGCACTTTGGGAGGCCGTGGCAGGCAGATTGCTTGAGCTCAGGAGTTCAAGACCAGCCTGGGCAACATGGTGAAACCCTGTCTCTACCAAAACTACAAAAAATTAGCCAGACTTGATGATATGCACCTGTGATCCCAGCTACTTGGGAGGCGGGGGTGGGAGGACTGCTTGAGCACAGAAGGCAGAGGTTGCAAGTGAGCTGTGATTGCCCCGCTGCACTCCAGCCTGGGTGACAGAGACCCCGTCTCAAAAAAAAAAAAAAAAAAATGTGAAATAAAGAATTTTCAGAAGGTCAGTAGTGTGGAATGCAATGTGACCCCTCCATCTATAAGTCCTTAAATCTTCAGAAGCGTTGTAGAATGAATTGTATTAATCACATGATTGTATTAAATTTTCTGGTGCAAGTGGGTGGGAAAACTTCAGAAAAAACTGGGCTCTAGGACAAGCCCTGTTGAGTGGAGATGGGACTGCATGTGCCCATTCCAAGGGGGCCTCAGGGCAGGGAGGGGGTGGGGAGAGGGTAAGCTATCAGGCATTTTCAGGCAGCATGGGAAGGGAATCCCCATCCCCACCCTGCTTTCTGGTAGTGGCGTCCTGCAGTGGTTTTGAGTGCATTTAGCTCAGAGCAGTTTTTGCAGCCACATACGACC